TGACAGGTGCTATTTCAGCATGTCCGAGTTGTCCAGGAGATATAAAGTTTGTCATGAAAAGTTCATTGGATGATAATGCCAAAAAAAAACAAAAGAGAAACGTGTCGGTGTGCTTGGTGATACCTTGGGGGTGAATGTAGATAACATGTATGATGTTGATGATGATGATGATGATGACGTGCAAGTACTCACCCAACAATCAACTCAAAAAAAAAAAAAGATGGAAAGAGAAAAGCTCCTCCTACCTCTCAAACACAAACTGTGCCACCTTTTTTCAAACGAGGTATGCATGATCCTTCTCAACCATCGATTAAGGCAACATTGCAAAGTAAGGAAAGGTGGCATGATACAGATTTAGCTCTTGCTATGTGGTTTTATGATTCTTGCATACCTATGAATGTCGTGAATTCTCCCATTTTCCAGATAGCAATGAGCAAAGTCGCTAGTATGGGTCATGGATACACGGGGCCTTCATATCATGATATGCGTGTCACGTTGTTGAAAGATGTGAAACAGACTGTACAACTTATAGTTGATTCTTATAGACGTTACTGGGCAGAAAATGGTTGTACAATTATGGGTGATGGGTGGTGGGATACAAGACAAAGACCCCTTATCAATTTCATGGTGTATTGTGCAAAAGGAATTTCCTTCATTAAATTGGTTGATGCATCAGACATTGAGAGTAATGCCCAAACATTATGCAATTTATTTAGTGAGATTGTTGAGATTGTTGGTCGTCAGAATGTTGTTCATTTAGTCACTGATAATGCTGCAAACTATAAGGCTGCAGGAAGATTGTTATGTAAGAAGTATCCGTCCATTGTTTGGTCTCCTTGTGCAGCACTATAGCATCCAAGATTTTCCAAGTATTATTACTATTCATCCAAATTGAGTGTGGAGTGGTTTGGTGTGGGCTTTGACCTTTGGGCCTTGCTAGTGGGCCGAGGAAGCCGCGTACGGGGGGCGTACATTGCCATATACGCCCAACGTACTCGTGGAAAGGAAACACGGAGGCCAAGCACGTACGCCCATCGTACCAGGAGTACGCCCAGCGTACGTGTGCAGCTCATTAAACCCTAAAATTTAGGGTTTACACCCTATATAAAGAACATTACCCCTGATTGTTCAGCCTCCCTTCACCCTTATACAGCCTCCACGAAAACCCT